GACAACTTCGTTTGGGCCAGGAAAGAATATAGAGAAAGTTTGGAAGGAAAATCATTATTTTATATCTGACTTATTCGAAGAATGCGCTTTGGGTACTCAGGTACCTTGGTTGTTGACCAACCGTTGAGCATTTAATAATTGCCATAAGAATAAAAACCCCGTCAACGACAAATATTTACCATAACGGCTGGTGTTTGTAGAAGAATTTATAAACGCGGGGATGGCAATGATTTACAGAGAGAATAATGGTTCGCAAACGACGGTTGTTTGAAAAGAGAATGAAACTCGTTCGCATGCGAAGCTGCTCAAACAGAGTAAAAAACCACTTTCTTTCGAGGCGCGGTTTCTCTTTGAGAGCAAACAAACCGCTGTCGGGATGAACAATGACGCGGACAGCAGTCATTTCGTACGAAATCATCGCAAGATTCGCTTTTTTCAACTCCTGAAGAATTTGGAGAACGGAAACTCGAAAGGAAGCCGCCTGCCTCGTCGAACTTTATTTTAAAACGTTTTCTAACGAAACGAATTTTGCACTTCACTTCAGATTCAGGGATTGAAAACAGTTATGATATCGGTTTTGATTCTCCGTAGAGTTACGAAGAACTTTTATTCTGAATGTTATATAGTACCGATATTTGAATATTTTAATTAACAAGTGCTTCAAATAATTCTGCCTCGGTATTTGTATGTTTCGAAAATTATAATATACGGCTATTATTTGTTTTTCTTTTCAGAATATTATTATAATATTTAATATTTTATTATTTTAAGATTTTCAGTAATGATTCTTAAAATGAATCCCAAACGTGATTTGTAAGTTGAACATTTCTGTCCCTCCCAGATGGGGGAATCCCAAAGCCAGTGCAACGTGAAAGACGATACTTAAAAAACGATACGAGCTGGGGTGTCAGCTTTCATACTGTCCGTTTCTTCGATTGTCGACTACGGCCGACTACGGCAAAAGATAATGGCGACTCGGAGGCTCAAGGATACCGTTGTGTATAAATTCTGCTGATGTCGAATTTCGTCTCTGCCGTACGAAAAATGAACAGGACAACAGTTTGCGGGATAAAATGGACCGTAAAGTAAATGCAAAGTGTCCAAAATCTGCAAAACAGCTGTGGAATTACTAGTAAGAAGCCTGGAAAGAAATTCAGGAAGATACTTTGAGGAAACTTATTGTTAGACAACCTCGGGTAGTGAATACTGTTATTTTACCCGATGAGGCGAACACACAGATGATATATTTAATAATTTTCAATTATTTATTATAAAGTTTGGTAAATTTTACTGTAGTGGCTTTGCTTTAAATTTGTTTATGTTTTTTGGATTTTTCACATGCAAAATATAGCTGTTGGAAATGTTTCTCATTCCCATATTGGCAAACATGCACGTGTTGGAAATATTTCTTTTTCCTTCGTTGGCAAACGTGCACGCCATCTTTTGTTCGAGTATAACAGTTGAAGAGTAGTATGTACCATGTATGCAACAATTCGTACCATATTAAACATAACCTCAAAGTACATGCGTCGTTTTTTATTGTCTAATCCTATAACCTTCGCTACAATAGCTTTGTTTGAAAAAAAACATACACACACAAAACAGATTTAGGACAAAGTCACTAAAATAAATATTTATCTAAAGTTTTTTAACATATAATAAATCCTAGATCTCCTACGCTACAATATCACTCGTTCGAGTTAATTATAAGTAGAAATATTGCAATATAATAAAGATATTGATCTTTTAATCAAATGGTATTGAGTGCTGAAATACTTATGCACAGTAATGTGTATCCTTCGAAAATTAACTCTTATTTAGTACTTGTTATGTTATCTTTGATTTTAAGTTCCACAGTTAGTATACATATAGTATACACGCTTATTGTGTATATTTCCAAGCGCATTATGCATGTTTAGTTTTTTATTTGTCTCGGTTCTTCGTTCAGAAAGCGATGAGAATAATAATATATATTTGTACGCAAAGCATTCGACCGCGACTCCAGAAATAGCTCTTCACTTTTTTCATCCTCCTCCGTAAAAGTCAAGGTATTCCAGATATTTCACGACGAGTTGCTTCTGTACCCTCGATGCCACCCGACGCGGAAACCCGCACTCTCGTTTCAACAAAACTGAGACGCATTTTATCGCTAGCTGGGCCCATTCGAAGTGACAAATTAATAATCGCCGCGTAGTTTTTCAGGGCGGAACACACTGGCTAGCACGAACGATAAAAAGTAAGAGTCGAGCAATCCGGGGCACTTTCGATTCGACTGTTGTGGCGGTAACAAGTCGTTCGACTCATTAATCGACTCTTCGAGACTGTATAATCCTTAGAACCGTTACATAAATTCATTACTCGATACCCTAGAGCGATTCCAATTATTACATTCTGTATCTTACTTGATCTTTTTAGAGCAACTATGATGCCTACAAATATGCATCAGACTTAACCAGTAGCGTAGCTAGAAAGAAACAAAGTGGACGGCACTATTGGTTTTCTGTAATGACAAACATGCTTTATTTATTTTCAACTAGATCACTAATTGAAATACTAAACTGGAAATACTTTAAAGTTTTTACTAAACGAAAAGCAAGAAAAATAACATTGTAAAAATTGTAGTTAATCTTCTTTTAATATAAGCATCTTTATTTTGTCACTTTCCTTATACATTGGTTTATCTTTTTGTTTAAGAATGCTTTATGAGTATGGGAGAAGGGACATACCCAAAGACCGCCCCGGGTGATACAATCTCTAGCTTCGTCACTGGGCTTAAGTCGTGAGAACAAGGCTAAAGAACGATAACTTTAGAGGACGACCACTTTAACGCATACCGTCGAAATCCAGTTGATTTTCAAATCGTTTTACAACACTTCTAATAATGAAACGATTTTTATTAACAATTTTTACTATTTCTCTATAAGAATAATGCATTTTGTGTAAATTTAATATTATGTTTCCCTTTTAGTTTGTAGTTTCTTTACATGTTTTTAATATTTAACTAATTCTCGTTGCGTGTGAAATTATTGTAACAAACAGTTTGAGTAATTGTTTGAAAATTTATACAACTGTATTATAGTCGTGAAAAGAAATATTAACTAATATTTTTGTCAGCTCTCTTTTACCCGAAATACATCAAATTGACTTTCAACTAGCAAATACGGTGGCAATTGCACATTTCGTGCATTTAATTCGAAGTTAAAAACAATTTCTTAATTTTTATTCTATGTTTTTTCCACTTCAATGACTTTTTTAATGCCATCATATTTGCGATATACAACGATGTCGACTTACACATCTTTGAGATAAATAAATGATGTGTGACCAATATTTTAGGTTAAGAGGCGACAGAAAATTCGGCCATTTTTAAGCGGGAAATTGTCATTTCAAAAGATTCCTTGGCGAGACGGTGAAATTCCATCGGAATTCGCTGGTAAAAGGTAAAAGGCTGAAAGTGTTCGGTCGTTGGTTACAGAAGGAGGAGGGGAGGGGGGAGGGGACTTTCAATTCGTATCGATGTCGAGGAGGAAATCGTGTGCTCGTCTCTCGTTTCGTCCCGCTGGTGTCTCCTCTTCCGATCAGCTCCTCTCTTTCCCTCTCGTTAGCCGTACGAGAATGTAGGTCGCACGGCTACGTTCACCTTCCAGCTAAGCAATGTCTTCCAAGGAAGGTCGTCGTTCGTCTGGAAAGCCTCTCTTTCTTGACCATTCTTTTCCCTTTCTTTCGACCATCCTCCTAGAATGCTGGCAACGCAAAACCTTCGATCGAGTCGACCGATTTGCTTGCCAAGGGTGCGTATGTACTTCCCATCGACGATGATCCAAACTCTTTCTTTCCGATGATCTCATACGTGCAAGTAACAAAGATCAACTAGGTACTCACCAATTACTCATTCTTGAGTATCATCAATTTTCACAGTGATTATGAATCGCAACTTTCGCACGGAAAACAATGGGAAAACTTTTAGTATTCATTTTAATAATTCCTTCCGATATTGAACACGTAGAAACTGTATTTATAGCAATTAATAATTGATTGTACATCAAGGAATTAATAACATTCTTCAGAGGTCTAGAAATTGGTCCAACATCTTTTGTACGAAGCTTCTGATATTTTCAAAAGTAAATCTAACCTAAACCCCCTTTGTTTCCACGTTCCCCAATTTGAGATTTAGTAATTTTATTTTGTACAAATTCATGTGGAGATGCAAAATAAAATTGATTTGCTTATACCCCAAACTATACACACCTTTTTATTTTTACTTATTTATTGTTAATACAACAAATGATTAGCTGTATAGTTATTATTAGAGAAATTAAATTAAGAACAGATAATAATAATTATTAAATCTTTCTAATTATTTATTTCCTAACCTTAGTTTTCCTTCTTACTTAATACAAGTCTTCGTAGTAAAGAGCCACGTGTTATTCTTTACCATTAAATATTATTGTATTTCCTTATGGAGATCATTTGTATAATCAACGCTAATAAGAAGTGATTTGCGAAGGAAACGAAGAGAAAAACTCGGAATCGTTCCTGTCTTCAAAGGATTACTAGATCCAAGTGGTTAGTTGTGAAAAAACACAAATTAAGATGTCTCCCTAATTGGTCGGTCATTCGTGAGCTCACCAACGATACAAGTAATTAGTTCTAGTGTAATTAATTGAACGTCTCGATCAATCAACCGACCGACCGGTCTCTGGCAAGCTAATTAGTCTCGTTAATAAGTTGATTATTGTTCGTAGCATCATTGTCGTCGCTGGCTGATTGTGCTTTAGAAATCGCATCGCGTGGAAAACGTCCACCTATTTTTTTTTTAATCTGATCGTTGGTGTATTTGATCTGACAGGAAGCGTTTTCCACGGGAGAGAAAAGTTTGCTTTGTCGCAGCCAAGTCGCAAACTCCCGGGACACTCGAACAGAGGTTCTCGGTTAATTGACCCCCCCGCTAATTAGTTATCGTCGCGGCTGACAATTAGAAAGCGCCGTTGTATACTCACACGTAGGCACTAGCTGGGGTATTTGGGCCGCGTGTGTGGTGCTGTGCCTCGCTATTGTGATCTGGAAACAAAAAATAATGCCGTTCGTTAGATGGGTTAGGGAGTCGTTTGTCCCTAGATAAGCTGAAAACAACGGGCAGCGTGGGACACTCGAGCAGACATTGAGAGTTTCGAAAGTACATATTATTCTCTTTTACGCTTCAATTAGGCTACTATTATTTTTATTCTTCCAACAATTGCGCGACATATTGTATCGTAATTAAATGTTGGTTATATTTTAGTTCCTTCGTTACGGATGTGGTGTTGGTTAAGCTTATTCTAAACTCAAAGAAACTGAATACTTATCATCATTCAACATGGAAAATACGATACACATATTTTTTTAACCTTTTTACAGTGTAATAATATACGTATAAGTTTTTTTGTGTGTAACAATGTTTCAGTTACTAATATTCTAAAGATTATAATATAACTAGCATGCCCCGTCTCGGCTTCGCTCGACCTTGTGCAAAAGCAATTTAGAACCAGACGATCGTCCTGACATATATATCCGCGATAATGCAATTCTCTCGCGAGAAAGCGCTCGAGAAGCTTCGCCACCTGGCGGTAATATCGCAGTACTGCTACGGGCGAGGTATCGCGCGGGCCGAATACGTGCATGCGCGCGCAAGTAGACTGTCGTATACAGGGGTCACGTGGTCTGCCAAACAGTCGATCACATGAAATCTTTGCATATAAATTACATGTTAATAACGCGCTTCTGAGACATGCTACATAGCCTATGTCCGTCCTAGAGTATGCAGAAATATCGTGTCAAAATTTGAGGAAGATCGGTTCAATAGGTCTTGAGTTTTGCGCGAACATAAAAATCGGCTCTCTCTTTATATGATAGTATATATAGGGAAAACACACCATCATAAAAGTGCGCGTATAACGCATATTCGTAGAAATTTTTCGATGTTTTTTTTTTATAACCCATCAGTGAAAGTAGACCTTTCCAACGCATGTACACGTTTGAAAATCGGTTGAGTGGTTCTCGAGTTATAAAATCACGAACATAGGACAACTTATTTTTATATATATATAGAAGAGATAGATTTATACAGGGTGTTCTCGACCGCCTCTGGGAAATATTTTAATGGGAGATTCTAGAAGCTAAAATAAGACGACAATCAAGAATAGCAATTTATTGATTGAGGTTTCGTTAAAAAGTTATTAATGATTAAAGTTCCACTACCGCGCGCACGCAGCTGTTCGCAGACTGCCGTTCTACAAGCGGAACTTTAAACGTTAATAACTTTTTAACAAAGCTTCGATCAACAAATTGATAATCTTGATTTTCGTCTTATTTTGGCCTCTAGGATCTCCCATTAAAATTTTTCCCAGGTTTGGCAAAAAAAAACGAGTTTTTATGGTATGTAATAATAAAGACAAGAAACAGAATTTTTCAAACAATGAAGTATTATGAAAGTTACAGTGAAATATACAAGGTGTTCGGCCACTCCTGGAAAAAATTTTAATGGGAGATTCTAGAATCCAAAATAAGACGAAAATCGAGAATACCAGTTTGTTGATTGAGGCTTCGTTAAAAAGTTGTTAACCTTTAAAGTTCTGCCTGTAGAACGGCAATCTGCGAACAGCTGCGTGTGCACTATAGTGGAACTTCAAACGTTAATAACTTTTTAACGATGCCTCGATCAACAAATTGTTATTCTTGATTTTCGTCTTATTTTGGTCTCAAAAATCTCCCGTTAAAATTTTTCCCAGGGATGACCGAACACCCTGTATAATAATCCAGATAAAAAAAAGATGTCCGTAGCGAGAGATTCGATTAAGATTTATTAGTTCTAGATTCTACGACCACTTCTTCCCGGATTAAGACTGGCGTCATCGATGGAAAAGCGATTACGAAAATGTCAGACCAAACTTGATTCGTTCGACTCTCACCGTTCTCGCTGGCAGCGCGTATGAATCATGTGGAATACACGTAGAAACACGTTTCAGTTTCTCATCGATTAAGTGTTATTATAAACCAGCCGCGAGAGGTCCGTGGAAAAGATGTCGATAGAACGTAATTTTAAGGACAATCAAAGACGCTTTATCGCGTGAAACATAATTCGAACTGTTTCCCATCAATTAAAGTCTATTGGCTAAAACGAAGGCTTCGATAGAGATCGTAAAATCTCATCTAATAGGTAAAGCATAATCCGTAGAGAGGAGGCAAGTCATTGCTAACGTATCGACCGAGACCTTCGATATTCGCAGAAATTAATTTCAAATGTAATGAACGGCATCTGATACGATGAATAATAGGAAAGCAAGGAATCGAATAATTAATTTCACTAGTGAAACCCGAGATGTTCCTCACCACGCGAGGCTGTAAATAAGACTTAAAGATGAGTGCTTGTAAATGTAGTGAAGGCTGATTGGATAAAGAAAAGGCGCGTCGCAAACATGTTCTAAGCTTGGATCGTTCCTAATTACCGTATCCGGTAAAACACGCCAGTTTGCAAGACCATTTTACCATTAGTTGCAACTGGTTACATACGTCATGTAATTGCGTCCCGTTCTTGTAGGCGTTATCGTTTAGTAGCGTTGTTTCTTGGCTTCCGATGCTAAGAAATCATGATTGAAAATACATATGACGTAAACCAGGAGATAATTAAAAACGCATATCATGCGGGATTAAGTATGAATACATATTGCATACTTTTTGATGAAAGTTAAACTTCGCGTGTTGTAAGTAATTAAAAATTCAAATACATTTTACTTAAATGTGGCGACAACTCCCACGCTCGCCAACAGAGGTGCACGCTCATCATTTATCTTTCTCACAAGTACCTGCTCGATCTACCTTCTATTCACAGGTATACGATATGAAAATTGATACACGTGAATTTTCGAGGTCGGTGGTTACGAATTGCAAGTAAATATGATAAAAAACAAAATAGTGGATGCGTGTACGAAAAAAAGTGTCAAATTCGACAGGAACTAAGTATTCCAGAGTTTAGGAGGTCTCTGATTACAAATCCGTAATCAAAATTATAAAAAACTGTATGGTGGATATAAAATGGTGGTCGTACATGTGGCGTCGCCTTCCATGCTCGCCACCAGAGAGATTACGCTCTCACAAGCGCTCGACCGACCCCTCGGTTGGTATATGTATACACTCCTCGAACAACTTCCCAATATTCCAGTCGTCTAAGGCAGGACCTGCTAGAAAGCCTTACTGACGGTCCACTGGAAGGCCCGGACGAAACGCGCCCCCTCCTTTCCTTTTCTGTCCTCCTACGAATTCTCCGAGATCCCTACCCGCAGCGAAGCAGCGCCACACATCAGTACATACTTTCTTTGCCTATAACATTATTTCAATTCCAATTCGGAAGAATCGGTATATTTTCTGGATTTATAACGAAAGTAGTTTTAGCACTTGTATTGCTTCAGATTTTGCATAGAATATTTTTTCGTCTAGTGTACCCACAATTTCAGGGGGTGCCTCAAAAAAAATTCTAAAATCGAAAAATAAAGTCTATTGTCTATGCCTCGAAGCTGATTATTCCAAATAGATTTAGTATGACTAAGGGTGCTGCTCTACTTTGTTCGCAGAATGCAAAGATTGCCGAGAAAGAAGGAACGAAGGGAACCGCAGATAATTGGTGAAGGTGGAAAATATTCACATTGTGGAAGATTAGAGGCTTTGTAAACGTTCTCGAGCGTCGAGCGATCGCGGGGAACGTAGCAAGGGCACTCGAGACTCCTCTTACTCCCTCGACACACTTTTATTTTCCAATCCACGCCGATTTAGGTATCGGCAGAAACGAGTGAACTCGAACGACGACAGTGCTAAGTGACCGCAACGATCGCGGACTAGGTGAACGTGTAATTGTTCAACTCGATCAGTTGCAACTTGTTGCAGTTGATGCAAGCGTTACGTTTGCTTCGTTTCTTCTGCAGTTCTCGATGCGTTGATGTCTCCGGAGCAGATAAACGCAACCTTGAACTGGTTTAGACCTCCTAATAGGTGATGTGTCACGTATATGGGAATTCTGAATAAAAATCACAACTTTTAAGCTAATCAATTTTTTACTTAAGAACTAATAATTTTTTCAAAAGAATACCAAGGCACGTTAATCTATAGAAAAATATACATTTTCAAAAAAAGGAATTAAAGTGACCTAGATTTTTATCGAATAAAAAATGTTTTGCTAATTTTTAGTATTGCAATTTCTTGTCAACCGATTATTCACTAACTTTTGTTCGAAAAGTTTTTTTTAATGGTTTAACGAGAATGCCTGAAATATCGTATTTAGAAAAAAATTCAAAACTTTGCATTCGTATAACATTTTTTCTTATTTTTTAAAAATAAAATATAAAATATATTTAAAATAAACATTGTTTATTATATTAACTTTAACGCCTTAATAATGGTTTTGATTTTGATTCTCTCCGTTTCGGGCAAATTTGGGTAGCTAAAATTGGCGTTAAATTAAAGTTTAATGTATCCTAAATTAATATTCAGGAAATCACGGCGGTACTTTTTTCTTAAACTTAATTAAAAGTTAATAAACATTTAATATAAAAAATTTGAACAAATTCATTAATATTCTTAATAAATTCTTTTGCACTTTAAAGTGTACTAAATTGCTAAACATAACCTATCAAAATCAAGTGTTTAAAAAAATGCACCGAAAATCGCAATCTGGGATTATTTTTTATGACAAACTGGCAAATTCAGTAAAAATAATTGATAGTATTAAAATTTACGTTCCTTTACTAGTATTTTAAGGTATAAGAATTTATAAAATACAATATCTGTAGGATATAAACAACAGTCATTTCTGTAAAATATTATATAAAATAAAATAAAACCGGAAAAAATTTATTTTGTTATAAAATTGTATAATATAGTTATTACACAAAACCTAATTCTACTTGTACATCTACATATAATAAATGCTAGTGGAATTTTTATTGTCGAAACGAACCAAGTGGGCAAGTTGGTTATAAATCTTGTTAAACACGGCGAATGAAACGCAAGTCGGATCTCGATGGAAAGCGAGA